CATTCTGAAGGAACACCTGGGCATGAGAAAAATTGCATCACGATGGGTTCTGCATGATTTGACGGAAATGCAGAAATGGCTACGATACGACGCTGCTCGTAACCACTTGGAGCGCTATGAGCGCGGAGAGGCTTTCTTACGACGTATAATTAAGCTGGATGAGACATGGGCCAAATCGTACGAGCCACAAATGAAGCGCCAATCGAACGAATGGCGTCATTACGGGTCACCACGAAAATCAAAAGTTCGTCAGAACCCCAGCAATGTGAAAGTTATGGTGATTCTCGTGTATGACTGTGATGGTGTTATCCTAACGCATACCGTTCCCCGACAGCAGACCGTCAATGCGCAGTATTACCGTTCATTTTTGGAACACAACCTGCGACCAGCTTTGAGAAAGAAGCGGCGACACTTTCTGCAGAACCCACCCATCATTTTGCAGGACAATGCTCGGCCGCATGCAGCGCAAGCTATGGCTGATTTGTTCGATCGATGGGGCTGGGAAGTGCTGTACCATCCACCATACTCCCCGGACTTAAGCCCTTGTGACTTCGACTTGATTCCTAAGATGAAGGAACCACTTCGTGGCATTCGCTTCAGAACTGTCCCAGAGATTCTTCAGGCAGTAGACAGCTCCATTCGAACTATCAACACAACAGGCGCCACTAAAGGTATCCTAAGACTTCCACATCGCTGGCAACGGGTTGTGTTAATGCTGGTGACTACATTGAAGGACAGTAAAACTTCGAAACATGCATCTATTTTGTATCAGTTGTAAATAAATAGTTGCCACTATTAAAGTTCCAACCCTCGTATATTTAATAAAGACATGCACATAGCAGTAATTGTTAAAGTATAATATTTTATATTTCTGATATTTTAATAGTAGTGTCTGTATGAATTTATAATCACAAATGACATTATAATAGTAGTTTCCGTAGGTACTGATAATGTCCATCTGAAGATGGTCGCTTCGACCGAAACATGAAAAGGATGAAAGATTAAAAAAACACAGTTATCAGTTACACTGGACGGCGTTAATAAGCTTTTATACTACTGCTAGTGTGACGGACCAGGATGAACCAAGTCAAACTCCATTATTCCTGATGTGATTTACGATGTCCTCATGCACTTTTCTTTTCTCTGAGCTAGGAACAACTAGGACACTCCTGCTGTGTCACACTGCTGGGCTAATGAGCACAATTGTCACTGTCACAAGATCGTACATGATATTACGTAATGCATAGCTGATGTTTATTTTTGGACTACAAACTGGACACTGTGCCGAGTTCAGCGGTTTCAAAGGAAGGCTGACATTTTATCTGCAGCGTATTCCAGTCGGGAGTCACTGCTTGAACATTAGAACTCTACTGTAATATTTCAATATGGCTCTCAGTCTTCTTCACAAGCTAACGGTTCCTCGCCTTATTAAAAAAAATACCAGCGTTTTACGGAACCGGTTTACCGTTGTTCACAAGAGCCCACTCCTGGTCCCTATCCTCAGTAAGATGATGAATATAGTTCACACCCTCTCATCCTCTTTCTTCTTTCAAAAGATCTCTTTCCTTCAGCTTTTCCTACTTTGTAGGCATTTCTCCTCTCTCCCATGCCTTCTATATGCCCCGCCCATCTCCTTTTTTTTGTGATATTTAATGACGCTGTCAGCATCAAGGCTATCTAGAACCGATGACAGGATGATTACTGAATATGGAGCCGTTTGTGGGATGAGAATTGGCAGGGGAGTCCAAAGTGAGAGGAGAAAAACTGACCCAGTGCCTCATCCTTCTTGATTTAACCAATAGCATTTGGCATAGTATAAGTTATGAAGCTCCTCTCTAAGAAATGCTCTCTTGTCTCCGCTTACTTTATCCATCTCAGGTCCAACATTCTCCTCAGCGCTCTGCATAGTCTTCCCTTATGTGGCTCTGTGGTAAATCTCTGACAAAAGGTTACAAATTCACAATACACATAGGGAGTATGGTGGCACACCCTGTTTAGAAGCTGGCCATACTATAAATGCTTGCAACAAACAAATGCCGTGGTTTTAGTCCGCAAGCCAACTATACCGACCAAGCAACCGATAAATGCCTGCAACCGTTATGAAAACAAGTTTACTATGAATCAATTAATTTAACAGTTTAATGGCTCTGGAACCCACCCACCTTCCTATACAATGAGTACCAGGGGCGGTTTCCCTAGGGTTGAAGTTTCTGAGACGTGGAACTACCCACTCATCTCCATCTAATGGCGAGGTTAAGGATGGTATCAATATCTCCACTACCCACGTACGTCATCATGGCGTGGTGCTAAATTAAGCAGATGGGCACATTTACCTTATCATCATCATAAACTATGTACCAGATGAAATGCTGAAAATTAAAATACGGTATTTAAGGCTGGATGGGAATATTATCATGCCTTGTGGGACAATTCGTTCTAAACTGCGCTTCATCAAGTTCACGCAGCTGAACTACTCTAAATGTAGTGTCAAAGAGAGGGAAACAGCACTTATCGATTATTATTTATTCATGCAGCACCTAAAGCAGATGTGTTATATGTAGTTTCCCACAATTTCTCTAGTGACACAAACACAAATGCAGAGAACATTTCTCTGTTACTACTGCATTCAGAAGCATAACTTACCCCCATGCTCTGAACCGAACAGAGACAAGGTCATTAAATTTATGATACTGTATTAACATGTAAGTCAGCCATGCTGTAGCTCAGGCAGTCAGTCGCCAGTTTCCCACTGCTGTGGACTGGGTTCAAGCACAAGTCAGATCATGTAGGATTTGTGGTGGAGAAAGGGGCAGGTTTTCTCTGAGTACTTTGGTTTCCCCCACCAATTCCCATTCCACCGGCTGCTCCATACACATCGTCTATCATCCGGGGCTGGTACAACAGGCAAAATAGTGGCAGATGTACGAAGTGGACTGAGTCTTTACATTACATTGCATTGCACTCCATGGATCCAAAGTTAGTCAAAATGACTGTAGGATGTGGAACATGTCATATAAATACAGAATATATGTACAGTCCCAATGGAGTTCTCACACAAGTGAAATCAAGAATACACAGTGACTACACACAAGGCTATTTAAAGATACATAAGTTATTTTCTAGACAATAGGTATTCATCAAGAGAGTAGAATGAATGTGTATTTAAGTATCACCCCATCCCAAGAAACTAGCTAAACTGACAAGTCTGCTTGGTGTTAAATTAAATGAGAGGATTACATGGCTAGTGACTTAGGAAGGAGATACCAACTTAATGTGTTATCCCAGAATTTAAACCCAGTACTGGCTGAATGAATACTGATGGCAGCTTCTCTCGCTATACCTATTAGAGGTGTGGGAAGCTTCTAGAGCCATTCTGCCAGTCTTTGCTATATCTACATTGATGGCTCAATCAGTATCAAACACCAAATTTTTAGATGCAGTCATTCGTTATGAGGAATAATGAAAAAATAAATAATGCAAATTCTGTAGCATTTAATACAAAAATAAAATACACTGTATTGAAACCTCACACAAACTGTGTGTTAAGTAAAGTAGTACTGAACGTATACCAACAGATTACTTTATTACAGAAACATATGCAAGACCAATGAAATGAAATACTGTGCTTGAAAACAAACCTAAGGCAACAATTAACATTTAGGCATATATATCTTATATATTTTAACTGATTCTTATGATTGTAAGATTATACCTTAGCCAATACAGTGAATCAAGGATAACAAAATGTAGTGACTTTCAAACAGTATTGCCGCACACTGCAACACACTTCACTACCCAATATTACAATATGACAGGAAAGGAAACCATATGAACTGCTGAACTGATGTTAGAAAAAATATTTAAACAGATATTTTACAATAATAATTGAAAATTAGGGGTGGAGAACCATGAGGTGAACCTTCTAATAATAATAAAATAAAAAACACACACACAAACACATGCACACAAATAGCTCTTCCGAAATTGCCTCTCTGCACTTCTTTTGGTTTGAAAAAGCTCTAAGTATATGTCATCATGTAATTACAATATATCTGATAATGTGGCCCACTATTCAGTTATTTCAGTTCTACCTTTCCTTAATTTAGATTTTAAATGTGCTGTCCCCCCCCCCTACACTTTACTGAATGTGGAGCATATATCAGGCACAAAATTAAAATTATGTGTGCAACATACAGATGTCAAAAATATATAAAATAATGTACCAAATGAGTTAGTAATGAGTGCAATTGTCAAAAGGGCATTTTCCTGGAAGATATACTGACACTGCAGTATCACCTTACCATATAAAGGAACTGTATACCTTTTCATTTATGGCCAAGACTGAACCACTGAAACACTTTAATTCTCATGATTTGTTTAATCCGTCTTGCAGTGCGTACACTTATCTATCTTCTTCTCTCACTCTCACTACATGTTTCGGCATAAAAATGCCATCTTCAGGTGCTACTCAATTCACGTCAAACTAGTACATTGTATGCCTTGTCTTCACTTTAAAATAACTAAAATATATGTCCATCATATATATTGACAAATGTCAATCGTAAAAATATTAAAACTGTTCAGGATTCCCGATCGCTACGTCGTATCTTATTACGCCAGTCATGCTCATCCTACTCTGTTTGAGCTCTTCTTCCCTATCGTGTGTATTGTGTTTCTGTTGCGTCTTGTTCTCGCGACTGCGTGCGTTATGCTGTTGGGTCTGCTGGGTATGTGTGTGTGTGTGTTCTGTCTTCGTTTTGAGTGAGTTTTGAGCATGACTGGCGTAATAAGATACGACGTAGCGATCGGGAATCCTGAACAGTTTTAATATTTTTACGATTGACATTTGTCAATATATATGATGGACATATATTTTAGTTATTTTAAAGTGAAGACAAGGCATACAATGTACTAGTTTGACGTGAATTGAGTAGCACCTGAAGATGGCATTTTTATGCCGAAACATGTAGTGAGAGTGAGAGAAGAAGATAGATAAGTGTACGCACTGCAAGACGGATTAAACAAATCATGAACTTAAATCAGTGCAACAGGACGCTAAAATATAACATTGTTAACACTTTAATTCTCATCAGTAACTACAGTTTTTATCATTTCATTACTATTTTTGTTGAAGTACAGACAAGATGCATGCATGCAACAGTCCTCAAAATCATGGTCAGTGTTGGAAGTTAATGAATATCCCTAAAAATGTTTACTATTAAAGAAAAATGTCATTACAGAGTGAAATTTTAGTGGACAGTTCAGGCCACATCACATTTCTGAACTAAGAGCCTATCTCCAAAAGAGAAAAGAAATGAAACCCACGTGTGTGACTGAGGGATATACAACAGTAATTATTAAACAATTTCTAGAATATAAATTTTTTACATTATTTTCTGGTTCTATTCTGCATGAGCTGTAGGCGTTGAAATACCAAATATTATATTCAACATGACCTTTAGTTTCTGAATGTGAAAAAATGGTCTCTTATGTTCAAGAGAATTTTTTGAACTGTTGTATTATTCTGATTACAAAATTCAAAGAAATGTCTCATTTCCACAAATTACAATTCTGTATTTATTATATTAAAACTCAATAATCAACATATATCAGAAGTGGGCGCCCAAACAAGTGTTTAGAAGCGGATAACTGTGAGTGTGGTGTGTGTGTAAGGCATGGAGAAGGGAAAGTGTAATTAGCCTCCAAAATTTGTCTGCATGAAGATTGGGAATTCCAGGGGGAAAATGAAGATGCCTTGAATTTGGAGTAAATAGTAAACATGTGCATGGGATTATTGAAATAATTCTTATATGTAATATGTAGAAAGCAAGACATTTTCTTTTAAGTGCTTGTTTTCTATCATAGGACTATTTTGTTACCTCAGATAAAATTCTCCTATAGCCCTCTATCTCATTTATCAATATCTGTTTTTATTTAATAAAAAAATTATACATATTACTAATGAAATTAAATACATTCCTGCACTCTAACTAAAATAACTAGAAACGCATTCCTGGTAAATACCAGGGGCAGGGTTCTGTGAAGTGAGATACAATTACTTACTCTGGCTTTTACACACTTCATGAGTGACAGGTTAAATAACACAGAAAAGAAAATGAACGATGGTTCAAAGAGGTGAACAATAATGGGAAATGAGGTTTGAAATTCTCACAGCTAAAGTCTTTATTTCCTGTGAAATGCTTACTGGATGAAAAAAGAAACTCTTGACTCCAAGGGAAGCTGATCTAATATACCTACAGGAAAGTTATAAGGCATTTAGTATAGAGAAGGTAAAGTCTGGGAAAAATAGTTTCCTAAATTCTCTTCACATGAAATTTAGGAATCTAGGGGAAAAAGAAAGCCCCTTGAACAAGAACAAATAGTAAACCTATAAAATACTGACTGGAATTACTCTCATTTTAGGAACACGCAGAAAGTAGTTCAGCAACAATTTCTGAATAGATTTCACATATGAGAAGACAAAATTAAAGCAGCATACATGAACATAATGTAAGTTATATCCACAGTCATAAAATTCAGTACCATTTGGCATGCTGAAATTGTTGTGGGGGATAATGTCATATAATTTGCCCAAATGGGTGCTAAATATTTTTAAAGACAGATACATTTTGTACACCTAAATAAATTCCCTTAAAAGCTCTTCAAATATAAATTTGTATGAAACATCCCCATAGCATCAATATATAAGTACAGTGTAATGTCTCTAATTTAATAGTCCATATGAGCAAGGTAGGCTTTGAATGCGGTCTTCTGGGTTGTGGCACCATGTGGCACTGTAGGTGAATTCCAACATTTCTGAGACACATTCTGCCTCCATTTTCAGGGTTGAAGTGAGCACAGTAACGATGTGATCAGGTTGCCATGATGGTAAGACCTCCTTTCATGTAACATGCCTGTATACAACCTGACTGCATCTTCACCCCATTCACTTTCATCTGGAAGATGGAAGCAACATCTTCCTCCAAAATGTTGGCATCCACCTAACTAGTGACACAACCCAGAATGATGCAATCTGAACACTCGTTGCTGTGAAAACCTGAAAAATTATAAATATTTATTCAATGAAATATGTATTTAACAAACATGAAACTTAAAAACTAAAAGCGCAATGCATCTAACACTGCCAAACAACAAAACCCATTTTAGAATGTGGAATTCAATCTTCTTATCGTGTAGCTATTTCTACACATTATGTTCATAACATGGTTACACATATGAATAGGATATCTGTAAATCATGTAACAGATTAAGGCCAATTATTACCATTTTCTTAGCTAGTGATACTGGATCTTAATCAGAAAATAAATTTTTCATGTGTGCCTACCTTAATACAGCCAACTCTTTCATCAGTCCTTCAAGAGCCATCTAAAAGTAACTTTTTACCTACCGTCAGTAACACCGCCTCCACACCTTAATGAAGCAATCGTCCTCTTCCTTTACCAATTACCATTTTACTAGATGTAACTTCATCTGCTGGTCTTACTCCAAGAGGCTGATTGTACATAATGGGTGCTATTTGTTGTGTATTCTGCATACTGCCAACAGCCGGTTGATAAGTTTGACTGGATTGGTAGTTCTGAGGCATCATATAACTGGGGCTAATTCCTGTTGGAGAAATGCAGGATCGATGGTTTGCCTGGGTCCCACGATTTAACATGAAAGCTGGAATATCTAGCGGCATATTGTCTGCATTATTTAGGTAAATATTTGGATAGTTTGCCTGGCTTGCGTGATTTAACTGGAAGACTGAAGGATCTGGTGACACAGTACCTGAACTGTACATATCTGAGTTTGGCATCTGTACTGTGTTTCCATTTCTGTTACAAGATGATGAGACAATAGGCTGTATCGGTACATTACTGGGAGCCACTACCTGATTCACTCCTAACAGCCAAGGATTCAACACTGAAGAAGCAGACTGATTTAATAAAGCATTATGACTTTGCAGGAGCAAATCATTAGACTTTGTAGGAAGTCCTCCAAGAGGATTTATTGGTGCTGCCATCACTGGTACTGAATTAATTTGTTGTCCTTGCAATTTCAGATTACATTCCGAATTTGGTAAGCCTGGAGGATTCATATTCCGTGATCCTGGAGAGTTCACAAGAGCCATCTGATGCATTTGGTTTGTGCTCATTATATGCCACTGCAGTTCTTGTACAAATGCTTCAAACAATTCTTGAATGTTTTGAACCAGTAATGGCTGACTAGATGACTCACATGCCTGATTTGGAATATGCTGAGCATGAGGTTCGCTGCCGATACCTGCCATTGTGGTCAAACTGTCACTACCATGGAATAATCCAGCTGTAGAAGCCATGGAAGGCCAGAAAGCATTGGTTGCATGGCGGACCTGAGAAGCATTACCAGGAGAATCCACACATGGACTGCAGGTTTGATTCAGATGTATGTCACGAATACAAGATGTGGGCAACATCCGCACATTTTGTGGGCTGTTCTGTAGGGATACGGGATTAGTGTTGAAGGACTGCTCAGCATGCACTTGAAGATAACTGTTGTCATTTACATCAGCAGATGATTCTATTTTATTAATGCACTTACCTAAATCACTTTGGACTTTATTGTCATAACTAGTGCATACACACATGCCAGAATCTTCAGACTTCTTACCAGGAAAATGCTCAATCATTCCCTTTTCTGACTTACTCAGTTTCTCCTTTCTACCAAAACTACTTGTCTCTTCTTTCCTACAAATGTCAGCATCCTGAGACACAAAGTCAATCCAGATGTCTCCTTGTCTCTTCTTTCCATTCCATTCATTATACTTGTCTGTCATCAATTTCTCATCACTGCAGTACACCCGGTTTCTGCTTACATAGTTCTGATTATTGCTATTACAATTTTCTTGCTCTCGATTCACTTCCTGTGGTCTCCCTCTCCCCACAGCTAGAGATACAGGAACATGGTCACCGTGAACCTTCCAGCTCTCGGCGACACTTTTCTCGTGAGCTCTGCTGCCATCGGCTTCAGGCATACAACCATGAAACATGCTCTCTCTTCTGTTTCTACTAGGGCCAGGCAGAAACCCCAACAGCTTCTGATCCTTGTGACCCTTCTGAATTTCAATTTCATCCCTCTTTTGATTCCAGTCAACCTGTCCCTCAGTTCCCCCGTCACTGGCTTCAGGCACATAAGTCTGAGATACTACCTCTCTCCTGGCTCTATGAGCGTCAGGCACAGGTTGGAATAAGTTCAGATCTCGGTGGGCTTCCTGAACCTCAATTTGACCTTTCTTTTGATTCCATTCAACCTGTACCTGAGCCCTGCAGCCATTAGCTTCAGGCATATAATTTTCAGGCTTGTTCTCTCCCTTATTTATACAAGGTTCAGGTACATGATTCTTACACTTCTGACCCTGTTTCTTAGTCCCATGCTGATTATCCTTCTGCTGCCCATTACATACTTCATTCCTGAATGGTCCCCATATTCCTTCCTCACATTTACCTTCAATAAAACGAGTCAAATCACCACCGTTATCAGTATCATCATCGACCCTGTGTTCTGATCTGGGCTGTCTAACCTCACCATTGGTTATGTCATTCTCTTTGTTACTTGAACCAGATTCAAATCCGTCACTCACAATCCCGTTCCTTCCTTTGAGCTTAACATATTTTCTTGAAGTATCTGTCTTCTGCTTGCTCACTATCACATCTCTTGACTGTCTGCTCAACTGTGGCTTCTTAGCTCCCACCTCCCTGTCTTGATGCTCTATTTTGTTCCCTACGGTCTCCTGCATCTGACCAGACGCTGCTGGCTTCATCTCCTCCAGCAAACATGGACCTTGAACCTCCTGTATTCTCTCAGGAGAATCCCATGATTCATCTTCAACTAGTTCTGATGATAGGAACTGGACTACTTCTGCACAATTTCTGAAAACATTTTCATTCATTAACATGTGAATACAGGTTGAGAAAATCTCAATATAACATGTTTACTTCAGTATATACATTATGACCAACAACTTTAATCTAAAACATGTTCCTATAATATGAAGATTTAATAAAATACAGCTGACTAACCCCGACTCCGTAACCAGCCAAGTACCGGGTCAGAGATGAAGACTAACATGTTGGCTGGTCACAGCTATTACACACCTTAAGCAGCAGTGGCAGATGAGAATGGGGCTATGGCGATTTGCAGGGAAAAACTGAAGCAATGAGAAGGCAACCAGGCTCCAGAGCCACTCTGTCCACCAAGAATCACATATAAAGACACACAGGATTAAATCCGAGGTGCCACTGTAAGAAATTAGTGCCTATCTGTCTGAGCTATGGCATGGACAACGAAAAGTTAAACACTTCCGTCTAGTGGGACTGGTGAAGATTTTTCTTATTTCAATTATTTATGCTCTTACATGTTTCGGTCTTCAGAGACCATCATCAGAGGGACACCTTTACATCAATACAGTTGGAAGCTACTAATACAATATATGTTCTGAACGTTAAAATATATACATATATGTTCAGAACATATATTGTAATAGTAACTTCCAACTGTACTGATGTAAAGGTGTTCCTCTGATGATGGTCCTTGAAGACTGAAACATGTAAGGGCATAAATAAGTGAAATAAGAAAAATCTTCACCAGTTACACTGGATGGAACTGTTTAACTTTTCATGATATTGTTAGTGTGATGGACCAGAATGAAACAAATCAAATTCTATGGCATGGACTTTACACAAAAACTCATTGCAAGTACTCAGTGGTGAATTTCATATATTGTTGTATTATTCAATATGGGGAACGTTACTAAAAATTAATGACAAAATGTAACTTTGGTACTTATCAGCACTTTAAGGCCTGAATGATCTCATGCTGACATCCATATACAAACACAAGAACATGTTAGTAAAGGTATGAAGAGCATACAAATTGTGGTGTACTTGCTCGTTATTCATTAATTACATTGCCACATATATCAGTGACTCTCAACAGCGTTTTGGGTTGGATATTGGATTTATTGACCACTGACATGTGGTAACTACAGATAACTATGACACTATCAATGATTTCAACACTTCATCAAATATTCAATCACATGCTAAGTCTTTTCAGTCTGCTTTCACTAGTCACTTCCTGGCAATGGATTTAACACAGCAACTATAACAGCCTCACTGAATTACACTCTCAAAATATCACTGTAACTAGAACACACATAAAGTCTTCTCTTCACTGCCTGACTCTCAACTGAGCACTCTAAACCTAGTCTTGCTTATAACATCTCAGCATAGACTATGTAGAAAACACAAATCCTCTATGGTTGTAGTCCAACTGTAGCATTATTAAGAATATGTTGCCTAACAACAGGCATTGTTCCATTGTTTGTTTTGTGGCTGTTGCCTAGAGAAGAATGTTGTTTCAAAGCCGTTCACCAGCAATGGTTGTTTATCTGGCTCTGCGGTTCTTGCTTTCACCGAATATGCAACAATATATATATATATATATCTAACAGAAATGAATACCAGGAATTAATTAAATAATTTTCCTGGGGAGTAAAGCGGGGCTGGCATTTAAGGCTGACAACCTTACCGCCACCTTTGAGCCAACTGTCTAGATAATGTGGGACCCTCAACGTCTCACAACCCTATGGGCCTTCACAGCCTGGT